GACGTCACATCATCGCCTCGTTTTCTGAGGTCCGAAAAATCGGGGATTTCAATAATTTTTTATAAAACGTAGGGAGCTCACAGCAAGAAACGGTTTGCGGTGGTGAGCTAGTTTGGGTGAGTTCTATCGAATAATGAGATAATTTTTTTTTGTGATATAAGCCCATTATACTGTAGATATTTTGTAAAGTTGACCACCATGTAATGAATTAACTTGATGTTTATTCGAAATCTGTATTAATTCAGTAAGAATTCAGTAGTACAAGAACCTGAAAAATAGTCGATATACCTAAACCTACTCTGCACTTTGTTGGTGAACCAAATATTATGGCTATCTAAACAAAATATAAGTGAAGGGACAAACATTATGGTTAACATACCACTCATTTTGTTGAGAGATTAAAATCTGGTTGATAACCAATTTTCTTGATCAAAACAACAATAACATTCGTATGGTGACATTACATATTCAACTATTGTTCGCTAGTTGATTTAATTATTAAACGAGATAGGCTCATTTTCATAATTATGCTGTTTTCGGTTGACTTGACCCATCAACTTCCTTGAATGTAGTTGATTCTCAGAGCCTGATGATATCATATTGATTTGATAACAGTTAAATTATAATAATCTCTCAGGGTATCGTAGCGCACCACTTTCAATATAGGTACGGTACAATACAGGGGATGTCACGATGAGTTCATACTATCTTTAAATCGAGAATCAGTCGGGAGAAATCCAGGAAAATATGCATGCTATATTGTAGAATACGCTGCCCTCGTTTGAAATATTGTGGACAATGCAGTGTTGCCGCTTCTACTAGGAAGAAGTAACAACATTGATATTTCAAATGGAACACCTTGTATTCTATCGCATTCTCAGATTCTTCCTGAAGAGTTGATTCCATCGATACATTATTCAATCATTATTTGATCGGAACAGATACAGGGTGGTTCACGATTCAGAATTCTAATCACCTGGTATCTGCTCCGATTAAATATTAGTAAATAGTAAATAAAAAGTTCAGATAGGGACATGTGAGCCGTTTTGGCTGATAATAATTGGTTTTGACACAAACAAATCATGAAGTTGAAAAATCTCAAGTGTGATGTATCGATGAAATCAACTCTTCAGGAAGAATCTGAAAATGCAATAAAATACTGAGTATTTCATTTGAAATAACAAAGTTGTTGCTATTTTCATAGAAGCGGCAACACAGCATTGCTGAACATATTTTTAATGAAGAGAGCGTACTCTAAAATATAAGCATGCATGTTTTCATGTATTTTTCCTGACTGATTCTCGATATAGAGATAGTGTGAGCTCGTCGTGACACCCTGTATAGTAATGTAATCTCCAAGTGATAATTTCTCTCCATTTAGCCGATACTGATTGTAGCCAAGGACGATATCTCAAATGAAACACCTTGTAACTATAACTGAGGCACATTTTAACTAATAGGTGATTTGGGTTTAATCTTCATATTTGCGCTCAGGATTCAATATTCAAATTTCCTGTACATTATTTTTTTCACTAGGTACTAGCAGGATATTTTTTAAATTTTTCAATTAGTATAGGAGTGTAGATTTCATGTCGTCCAGTAGTGGAGACAAACGGTTTCTCAGGTCGAATTTAAGAGTTAGTACCTAAAAAAAATGTAAAATAAGGGCCAGCTGCATAATAATTATGTTTCACAATCTCAAAAAGATAGATGACCGTATACCCAATTTTCGCTCTCTCTCTCTCTCAATACTGTTGAAAACATGAAAACCATAATCTATATGGAATGTTATGAGCTAATTTTCATTTCTATGAACAAAGAACACATTTTCCGAGGCTGATATGATGTGACAGCATATAGCCTGTCGAACGGTAAATTATCCACACCATTTTGTTTTAACTCGGTTTGAGTGTATTCTGCAGGCATTTTGCGGTTTTATGATCACCCGAGGTCAACACTGTCGCAATTTAGTTATTTGATGGTTGCGAGGCTTTCAAGAGTTTTATCCTATATCTACCACCCGTCCCAGGAGGTTTCTGTTTTCTCGACGCCTTTATAAAGGTCCTCGTCATTCATTATTAAATCATCGATTTTTCCACTAAATGGAGAATAGTAGTACATTTATTCATCATAAATGAATTATGATGCCATATGAATTTAGGTCACATGCGACTCGTGGTATATACCTTCACAGTGGATATTTTGATTCAGAAGTCATGAAAACTCCTGGAACGTATTATACTTTTATAAAAGTCGAATGAAAATGAATTCACAAGTACTTTTTTTGCTAACTAACACAAAACTTATTTGCTGCGGAACAATTTAATAGGATTTCCAATATATTAGGGTGGGCCACCAGTAACGCCTCGGTCTTTAGAAGACTAACCACTCATCTTGTTGAAATTCTTCCTCTTTAGGACGTTGCATGTCAACATAGGCTACCATTTGAAATTATTTCGGAACAAATCCACTGAAGTTATACTTTTTCAATTATTTCATTTCGAGATTCTCCCAGAATAGCTGATTTCAACGACCCATCGTACTTGGGGTCTAGCAGTAATAATAACTGAAATATAGGTTGTGAAAAATCGAGATTTCCCATGTTCAGGGATTGTTTGTGCCGAAACTATTCATAATTGGTCAAAATGATTTACATATCCCTATCCACATACATTTTTCAGTAATCTGGTATGAATTCCACATCCTCTTTTGTTTTTTTCTTCAAAGCAGATTGATAATTTCTTCACGCAAAGCAATGATTGGGTATTTGCCCAAGTCATAAGTTCCCCTTCCCCCATAAAAAAACAGCTATCGATTGTTAATGAAAAACATAAACTAGCACAATAAAAAAAAACTGTACACACTCGCTCTTTAGATAGTAAGAGTATGACACTCAACATCTACCCGCTGTCAAAAAAACAGAAGGGGGTTGTGGCGTGGCGATGTCCAAGGAAGTTCAGAAAAGTTTTATCTCGGGACAAGTTTAGTGAAACTACTTTTTTAGTAGCAGAGATTGGCTATGATGGCATTTCAAAAGTTCATCAATGTTCTTATATAAAAAGTTTCAGAACTTGAAGGCAAATAACGCTTTTCTGTTAAGATAATCAGACCTAAAGAAGAGGGACTTCTATTGCGAAAAAGCATGATTGGAATATTGATAATATTAAAAAGCTCCTCACATAGTGGGGTATGAAGGTGATTTGTATGTTACAATACGTTGAAGCTAGTTAGTTATCGCACATACACCACAAAATTGCGATTTATGATATTCCTCGAATATATTTAGGTATGGCATGCCCTTCCTTGTCCATGATTTCACAGAGTAATCCCGCGCGCATTCACCATTCCATTCATTTATTTCGTGTTTGGAATTCTGGATTATTGGCATACGGTTCATCGTGATTTATGATGTATGAATTGCAGAATTTATTCATCAGTAGTAGTTTAGTATGGTGGTGAAAAATATAGTGTCCTATTTTTGTTAAGTTAGTGATACTATCCCAACCTGATATTTCACAGGTATAGGCATATAATTGTGTATAGGTATCATCGAGCAGCTAAAACTTGTGATACTCTCCATAGATCAATGTATTTGAAATGGATCAACCTTAGAGTCATTGAATTACTTGTTCAAACCAAATGATATCGCACAATTTCTTTATGATCTGATGTATGATGTAGGTATGCTTTCTTGAAGGCAATAGGTTTCGCTTTCTTGGAATATCATTAGTGAATAAGTGAATAAGTGCGACTAACTTCAAGAGTTGAGTCCTTGTAATATTTTAGGAAATAAAGTACATGAAAACATATGTCGCAACCTGTTTCGTTTCTGATTGACAGGATGTTGAGGTTGGAAGCATTAAATGTTTCTATTTATCAATTCCCTGTATAAGCTCACATGATTCCAAAATTCAGTATGGAGACAGATAGACAAAGTCCCAAAATTTCAAAATGATTCTTATTGAGGCTATTAGGTAATCTTTGAGAGCACCTACATACATCGAAGTTTTGGATTCTAATGGAATTTCAATTGTTTCTTCAAAAACTAAGTGAGGTACAAAGTTAACACAAGATAATATAAGGAAGTTGTTGTTTCAATTATTCAATCAAATAATATACTTAGGAATTTGGTCCACTTGTCGATCTTCTTGATGGCTTCCTTCTGTTGATGAAAAGCGTGTTTAAACTATTTGAGATATCAAATGACCCCAGTATATAACATGTAATGAAATGGCGTATTATTATGTTACAAGATGTGAGAGTTGATTTATTAGATATATAGAATATATCGGCTCGGTTGTCGAGATCGTGAAGGCGCTGAGTTCGTATGGGGACTCCCACCGAGACATAGGTTCGAATCCTAGTTAGGCTATGGATGTTTGTGTTTGTATGCTTACCTAACCCCGCACAAGTTTCTACTTATGGGGCTTTTGGTCCCAGTGCTGGGACCAACGAGGCAATGCAATTGCAAAAAAAATATATCTATAAAGAATATCGATTCTCTGGCGATGATTCCGCAGAGTAATCCCCACCATTCGTGATTTCATCCATCTATCCGTGTTTGGTGGAAGTCGAGTAGTCTGACATGTTCGATACTCACCCAGCATCCCTACGGGGAACTGGTATGGCGCCTGCTGCGGGTTCTCGATGACGAGCTAACCTAACCTGACACCTACGTCACTCACCTATCACTTGACTGATCTGTAAGTCTCCTACGGTGCTCAGCGAGCTGTGCGAGGTTATTAGATAGATGAAGTGCGATCTTGAAGCGCTAGTAGACGGCTAGACTGTTGTACTCACCCAGTATCCCTACGGGGAACTGGTATGGCGATTGCTGCGGGTTCTGGATGATGACCTAACCTAACCTGACACCTACGTCACTCACCTATCACTTGACTGATCTGTAAGTCTCCTACTGTGCTCAGCGAGCTGTGCGAGGTTATTAGATAGATGAAGTGCGATCTTACGACGCTAGTAGACGGCTAGACTCTTGTACTCACCCAGCATCCCTACGGGGAACTGGTAGGGCGCCTGCTGCGGGTTCTCGATGACGCTTTGCGTGACTACCCACACGTAGTTCTCGCCTGTGAGGTGCAGGTCGCGGGCGGCTGCGAGGACGTCTATGGCCTCCTCACGCGTGCAGTAGAGCAGCATGACGCGCGCCTCCGAGTCGACGAGGGCTGCGAGGTCGCCCTTGTTGGCCACCAGCACGGCGTTCAGGATGGTGAACTTGAAGCGGTCCTGGAAAAGGAAGGGTACGATAACACATGCTTACAAAATTTCACTTTCAGAAAACTCTCGGAGATTTCTCCCATTTTTCCTGTAGATTTTTGTAAAGTCATTTCAAATCTACGAGCCGTCTCATCAATCAGCTCAGTTTTTAGTAAAGTTTATGCAAAGGAAGACACGTCACCGCAAGCCGTCGGTCCCTTTGAAAGTTCAAAGAAAGCGGCAGCGCGGCCCGACATTTGTCTGATGATGATGATGATGATGATGACATGATCTGTTCAACGGACTAACCATAAACTATACACATAATTCTTTGTATTTCATGTGAGGGTAGGCACGCATTCATAGTATTGACATAGGTATATTTGGAAAGATAATTTTCAGCTGCTTTTGGCAATTAAATTAATTCTTGTGGTGAATTTACTCGACTGTACATACATATGTTATGTCTCGAGAACTGAAGCTGATAGAGAAAAACGGTTTTCATTTTCAGAGTCGGGGCCTTGAATATCTACAGAGTAACTGTTTTTTGGAGAAAAAAATTGTAGATATTTCTTTTATGTTCTGGTTCCCACGAAAAGGGATCACCTGTAATATTCAGAGAACATCGTGGGAACCAAGGGAAATAAGGTAGGAATTGGTGTTCTTCTTGAATTTCTGGAGGTTACATGCCTCGGGAAACACCTCTCTTGGGAATGTCTTCGAGAGCCTCGCTGTTCGTTGGATCAACGAGTCTTTGGAAAGAGATATTCTGCAGGTCTCCAAAGTGACCACGACGGGATGCGAAGCCTCAACTCGACGGGTTAATCTCGCGGGGACTGCCAATGGAGGAACAAGCGTTGATATTCCAGAAGAGCATCTTCCATGAAAATATCTATAAAATAGGGCCAGATCGCCAACTTGTCTACGGTGTTCCAGAGAAGTGAGTGAGTTTGTGAGCGAGGCATCACCCACGACACGAATTGACCTTTTTTGGACAGAATCTAACAGTTTCAGGGTATGTTTGGGTGCTGCACTCAGTTAAGACAACGTCCTGTATCTCAATTTTTCTGACAACTTATTATGTCACTGTGTGACAAAAAAAAAACGGAAGAGGAAATATCAATCTCAAGAATTAGTTTGAATTTGTATGTTGAAAAGAGGAGCAAATTCGTTTCCGTTCAAAGATATGGAAAATATTATATTTTTTCACCACACCTATATATTATCCATGCTCAGAGAAGCAGCAAGGGTCACTGACTATCAATAGAATTTTTCGAGAGACGAGGTGATAAACTTTGAAATGGTGAGAGGAATGAGTTTATTTTTATTTGGGCTAATTTAAAATCAATCTTAAAGAATTAATAGCTAATTTTGAGAGAGACAGAAGAAATGGCTTTGATTTCTTTCCTTATCTTCAGATTCCCAACATTGTACTGAACTGAATCGTTCTTTCGAATGTCGTTCATTATGTATAATGCATGTGAACTGATTCAGTTCAGTTCAAGTGAAATGTGCCAGTTAGTTCAGATTGAAAGAATATCACTAATATAAGTGACTGAAAAAACTGAACTGGATCAGTTAAAGTGCGTTCGTTCGAGAGGATCTGATATAATGCATGCTAACTGATTAATTCAAATTTCATGTTGTAATAGTGAAAATGAGACGGAATAGGAAAGAAGACAGAGCATTTAATTTTTTTTTATATTCGATATATTTCTCGAAGTTCAAATTCAATTTCTGTTTCAGATTTACTGCCAAATCATTGCTCGCTCATTATAGGAAACGCTTTCACCTCTGTAAGAAAATACCCAAGATTTTTCACGTTCTTGACAGTCCTGACTATCATAATATAGCTTCTAGCTTATTCTAGAATTTTGGGAATTTCGTTGCAAGCTCACGAAAAGGATCCAAGAGAGAAATTCCTAGGAAGGGATTTAGGGTGGAATGAGGATGCCAAATATGTTTTCTACTACGTGCTGTATTTTTCGAATGGCTGAACGAGGAAGAGATTGTTGGTTAAATCAGTCTTGTTCTATAATAAATCGTTTAAATCAACAATTTCCTCAAAGTAAAAGTTGTTTCAAGAACAATTAGTTACACAGGGTGAGTCATGACTAACTAGCCATAGCCTAATGGCGGGCAGAGGAAGTCAAGGTGATATATAAGTGAAAAAATAAATTCTGGCTATTCGTAACAGAAATACAGGGCATTATTTGAATTCAGGGCGAAACTTTGAAGAACGATATTTCAGGAATGTCCCGATGTTTTCGCTAAAAATTCACCAGCAATTTTCATCTACTGACACCCTTCACGATGACCCACTATGGAAGAAAAATTCCAGAGCCGGACTTAAAAAATTCATTTTCTTTTCAAATGTCAAAATTTCGACTTTCTGAATCGTATATTTTGAAAACTATCATCAGAATCAAACAGATCAGGAAAACACTACGAGTGTAGCTTTTTAATTTGTACGGCACTTATCGACCGGATGGGTGAAAAATTATCAAACAAAATTCAGATGAATATTTTTTCGATTTCGTCCAGGCCGTTATTCACTACATTCGACTGAAATTATTCGAATCAGTTTATTCTGCATATGATATAGCAGCAGAGTTGAAAAAATATATCATTGAGAAAAATTCAGGACCGGATTTGGTTTTTGGGAAAATTACAAATCATAATTTTCGAAAAAGATTTGTCTGTATCCTGATATTTTTCAACGAAGAGTCTCGAAATGTCCTCCTCCAATTTCTATACATTTTCTGTATAACTTCGGAAGATATTTTATGGTTAGGCTATGGCTGGTTAGTCATGACTCACCCTGAATATGAATGGAGAAGATTCCTACTTTGAGATTCTCATTTCTTCATCAAATTTGTGAAAAACCATTGAACACGTATTTTTGTTTGTTTGCTTGCTTGTTTGTTTGTTTGTTTGTTTTTTTTGTTTGTTTGTTTGTTTGTTTGTATGTATTGAATAGGCTCCGAAACTACTGGATCGATTTGGGTAAAAATTGGTGTGGAGGTAGCTTAGAACCAGGAGAAGGTAATAGGATACTTTTTATCCCGGTATCATCAGGAAATTCGAGATGGCGGATCTAATATATCGTACGAGTTCTGTAATTATGGTCCGATTCTATTCAACATTTGTATCTGGGAGTTTTCGGGGTCGTAAATTATGATACTTCCGTCAGAATTTGGAAATTCAAGATGGCGGAACCAATATGGCGGACGAGTTTTTTAGTTATAAACCGATTCTTTTCAAAATTGGTACCTAGGGGTTTTCGTGATCGGGGATTATGATTCCTTCGTCAAAATGGAATTAAATATTGCGGATTCAAAATGGCGGATTTCGTAATAGGGATCCGATTTTATTCATATTTGGTATCTGGTGGTTCTCGGGGTTGGAGATTATGATTCTTTCGTCAGAATTAGGAAATTCGAGATGGCGGACCCAATATAACGGATGATCCGAGTATTGTAATTATGATCCGACTCTCTTCAAAATTGTTATCTGGGTGTTTTCGGAGTCCGAGATTATGATTCTTTTGTCAAAATTTGGAAAGGGCGGGATTTGGAGATTCAAGACGGTGGAACCAATATACCGGACGAGTTTTGTGATTATATACCGATTCTATTCAGAATTTGTAAGTGGGCGTTTTCGGGATAAAAAATTATGATTCCTTTGTCAAAATTAGGGAATTCAAGATGATAGATCCAATATAGCGGACGAGTTTTGTATTTATGTTCAGATGCTATTCAAAATTTCGATCTGGGGTTTCAGGAGTCGGATATTATGATTCTTTCCTCAAAATTGGGAGATTCAAGTGAACTAAAAAGAAGTTATGAGATATAAATGGTAGTTTGACAAACTAAAGGAACACGCTTTTATAGATAGATAGCGAAACTAAGAAGAAGTAGAAAATAAAATAATAATAGTGTCGATGAATATTGAACAGGAAAAATATATTATAGAAATAATGAATATAGCAAAACAACGTTTGCTAGATCTGCTATTTAGTTTATATTGGTGTTCCAGCTTGAATTTGGCCACACTGTATAAAAATCCAATAAAGAATCTCAGTCAACTAAAAATTCAGTAATTTTTCAAATCTTCTGGAATATTTGATATGCCTAAAACGTCGTCGAACGAACTTGAACAAACATAAAACCGTTGGGAGGTTATCTCTTCCGCTACAACATCAGACAAACAACGATTTTTCACCGGCTCAGGACAGCGTGCCATGTTTTGAGACAGCAACGAAATGTCTATCATAAATCACTTTGCCCTGAAACTGGCAATTATTTTCCTGAAAACAGAAGACATTCCCCAGAATAATTCGTTTTAAATTTTGGTCCCATGATAATGTATCTATAATGAACATATTCGAGGTGGTGAGATAAACAAAATGAATTGTTTGATCTATGAATATACTGTTCAAGGTCGCAGCGCCGGTTGTGGATATGAAACCATATGAAACTATATGAAAGTGTATTATTTCGATTATTGGTGATTTGAGCAACGACAAATCGACAAATGTACTTTTGACTGTTTATTTGTATACCCTCGTGATTCGAGAGAGTTTTTCATCAGATATTCATTCAATGAACTATGTTTCACTATTTCAAATCAATCAATCAATCAATCAATCAATCAAACTTTTATTAAATAAGTTTTCATCTACAATAAAAATTAGGAAAGAATCATAACATCATTGTAGAATACTAACTGATTCAACAGGTCATACAATGAAAAATGAATATATTTATAAAAAAAGTTAAAACAATACTTAATATAAACACTAACCATCAACTTGAAAAAAAAGAAATTGAGAATGTGTATAAAACATCAATAAATGATATACTAGACAAATATATTTACAAACAACATTAAACATCAAAATATCATTAAAATAATCTGATCATTAGAATATTTACTCACATCATGATTCCAGGAGAAATTCATCGACTGAGTAATATGCTTTTCGCAATAAAAATGATTTGAGTTGCCTTTTGAACACATTAAGATTTGTAGACAATTTAA